CCATCATGCTATGTTTGAAAAATATATTGTAGGGCCATACCCATACAAAACATGTCTGTGAAGTTTTTTTTTCAAAGTACCAAACAGATCACCCATTGTAGCCATCCCTCATACTGCTCAAACCCCTCTTTTGAAGCCCTGTTAGAGAAACGCGGATCTTGGGTCCTTAGCTTGAAAAATAAATAAGAGGAGGCGGAGCTAATGCCTGATCAGAATTCTACCGGAGATAAAGTTACATTCGGTTGTGATAAAACGCCATCCTGTTTAAACCACGTCAAAGATTATTTCTGAAATAGTATGGAGCTCAAACGCTTTTTCTCTTGCGGGTTTATAGTTATTTTTTGTCGTACACCCGTTTTTAAAATATTTGGGTACGGAGGAAAAGAGAGAGGGTTTTATTTTTTGACGCTGCAGGAGTTCCCCGATGCACCGGGGACACATATTTATGTATAAAAGACATCACAAAGTGCATTTTGCATGATAGGTCCCCTTTAAGTGGTGAAATGCTAACTTATTTCCGGGTTTAAGGACTCATTCCTGCACCACTCTATTGATGCAAGTAATAATAAGAGAGGTTGTGATAGAAGTAGCCATAACAGTAGAAGATAATACTTCTATAGTGGCAGTAATGATAATAACAGTAGAAATTCTTAATTTGGTCCTGAAACCAAACTGTGTGTACAGTAAATTACCTCTAATGGACAGACACTTAATAATGTAATGCTTTTGTAACTACAGGCTTTTGTCAGGGGCGTAATATGCTTGTTTCCAATTAAAAACATAATATATAATGGTGCCAGTGTTGCAACTGCCAGCCCCTAGGAGTGTATTCCCTTAACCCCTTTGAAAAGACTCTGGAAGCCTGAATCTACTGAATCACTGAACATCACACACCTATTGTAAAATATATGGTCGTATCCCACGTGAATCGTTGACTGAAACACGGAATAAAAAGTTTAGTATCTGAATTTCCAGCCAGATAGTTTGCTGCAGGCATCCCCCTGACTTTCCCTTATACTCACACAGTTTTAAATCAACTTGCAGGCATTGTTATGCAGCCCGCCATTAAAATATGCAGCTCAGCAAAGCAGGTCTGTGTGTTTTGAGGAGAGGATGAACATGGAGACGCTGCCCAGAGGCATCGTAACCAGCACATCGTAAAGACACTCGTCTCCACCTCAGCAGCATTAAAACTGGAGAGAGGACTGCATTAAAGAAACAGACAGAGAAGGAGGGAGAAGAGTGAGGGAAACAAGAGAGGTAATGGGAACGACAGGTTGCCGTACAGATGGGACAAACTGCAGCTACAAGCCCAGATGTATGTGATTTAACAGATTCCATGAGCTAAATGGGAAGAAGCATGACCAGAAGCTAATAGATAAATACAAATATATATTAAATTGGAGAAACAAATCTACAACAAAGTGCCTTTACAATAAAAAATGTCATAATAATAACAATAATAATGACGATATTGCCCCTTTAATATTAAATAAATGCCTCATGATTAATAAATCAACACCCCTCTATGTTATAAATGACTTCCATAAGGAGAAGTGTATAAAGGACATTTTGAAGTTGAATATTTAACATCCAAGCATGCAGGCGCACAAAATAAAAAATTAAAAAACATAGCTGATAATTACTTTATTGTTTTATTAAACAACATTTCCCAAAATATTTTTGTGCAGAAAAGATACCTTTCAGGGATTGTATACCATAACCAACTACCAAGTTACTTTAGCAACGTATAAAGTATTCATTTATAAAAAATGTAAAAAGAGTCAGTTACACTTTACGTTGACTTTTAGTTGATAGTCCAGGCAACATTACATTATTGATTGTCTTGTGACGTCAGACAAATGCAGCATCGTGAAGTCAGGATTTAAGGAGTTAAAGAGTTGAGTGATGTTTGAGTGAGGTCAGAAATCAAGTTCAGATGTAACCGTGTGGTAAAATATTTTTCACCCCTAATCAGATAAAGACCATATCTGCTGAAATGAGTCGTGCATTAAGTCAACGGAGGATCAGAAAGTCCGTGTGACATTGCCGACCTTATTAATCCCTATAGAAAGGGAGTTGTCAAATCCTGATTGGTAACGAAGGGAACGGCACCAAGCTGCTCTCAAGTCTCTATTAGGAGCCAACAGGTGATCTGAAGATCCTCCAATCAGCTCACGGGAACTTTGACATCCAGCCAAAAGTAATTTGTGAAAAGGGAAATGAAAACAAAACAATAAGAGACTGCCATCTGCACAGTGCTCATTTAGTCTGATGCATTGTGAGTGTTTCACAGGCAGATAATCATTCCCATTATAGTACTTGTAAAAATCAATATACATACATTTAATACAATGGCTTCTTTTGTCTGGGCAGAGTTTCATGGTCATTCTTAGCTGTTTATCCTTTAAATAACACAATGCTATGACAAAATAATTCCTTTAAAAAATGGTTAGACGTTTTAAATGGCAGTGGTTTTAAGCAAATGTTTTTCGACCTGAAGTGTATCTCATGAATGCATCATGCATTGTGCTTTTATATGCTCCAGTAATCCCCTTTATCACCCGAAACAAATAGCTTCCCCCCCCCCCAAAGAGGCACGCAGGTTAAGTGTGTGTTAGCCACTGGGAATTTCATTTTAACGTCACTGAATAATTACATAAAATGAAATTCCCAGTGGCTAACACACACTTAACCTGCGTGCCTCTTTGGGGGGGGGGGAAGCTATTTGTTTCGGGTGATAAAGGGGATTACTGGAGCANCAGATCAACACAAGACCAGATCAACACAAGGCCCGATCAACACAAGACCAGATCAACACAAGGCTGTTAACTCACATGCAAATATATATATCAGTGTTATATAACTTAGTTATTTATGAATATACTAATTCTAATTGCACAGTCCTGTGACGAACAGTTGTGTCCGTGTTCATGTTAAAGATCGATGTATCTATCTTCCAATGATCCGAAATGTTGCCTCCTGGATCTTCAACCAAGTATTTAGTTATAAAACAGTTTAAAACCCAGAGATATTGAGCTTACGGTCTTAATAGACAAACTTTTGAGAGGCTGCAATCAGCAAATCGTTGGCATTTCAGCTCGAAAAAATGCTAAATGAACAAAGAAGAAATGATAAATCAATTATCAGAAAAGGTCTCAGCTCTTTTTATCTATTCTCAAAGAACTTTAACGAACCTCTCAAGCCAGACGAATTTCAAATCACAGTAAAAAGGCTGTCGTCTCAAACACAGTCCATGCAAGTTTGTTTCACTTTCCAAACTAAATGATTACAGATTGTACCAATACAGCTAGATGTGTTGTTGATGACTAGATACAGATACTCTTCTCTTTTAACCTAACCCAGATCAATCATCAATCATTATGTGAAAGTTAACTAAGTTTTTAAAATGTCCCCATAAAAACAGACATCTCTCCGGCATCTGTCAGACACGCTGCACATCTGGAGCA